TGAACACATCTATGATGTGTTATTTACGTTTTAAACCTTAATCTTTTGCCCAAATTTGTACTATACCTTCCTAATTTAGTTTTGGTTTCCTTCTATACTTCTTTGTTAGCTCTATAACCAAGCCCTAAGGCTATAGAGGACACTAAGCTACTAGGAGTGCAATGTGGTTTACTTTAGTACTTGGTTATGGTTTAGACCATGCTAGGCCTAAAATTTGGAGTTGTGACAGATGGTATACCGACCGAAGATCTATCTTGGAAAACCAAGATGTGCCCTATAGCTGGTCGAACAAATCATTGATCATTGGTAACGGATAACAGTTCTTCACTGTTAGTTTGTTCAGCTTCGGATAATCAATTCACATCTTGTGTGATCCATCCTTCTTCTTGATGAACAGGATCGGAGCTCCCCACAGGGAACTACTCGGACGAATAAACCCCCCGGTCTAGTAGCTCTTAAAGCTGCATAGATAGCTCTTGCATTTCAGGTGGAGCTAGTCGGTATGCTGCATTGGCTATCAGAGCAACACCCGACACAATATGGATGCGAAAATCCACCTGCCTCTCTGGTGGCACCCTTGGTAACTCCTATGGAAAGACATCCTGGAACTCCTGTACAATCAGAATGTTGCCCAAACAACCCTAATGAAGTAATATCCCAGGCCTTGCGGTTGAATAAAGGATCGGTCCCTGCAAGACCCTCTCACCATGAATAACCAGGTCTTTCCCACTTAGGATTCGAACCCTTAACAACTGGCACTCACAGTCGATCATGGCCCCATTGGCCCGCAAGCAGTTCATCTCAACATTAACCTTCAGTCCTCGTAGTCGTATCGAGACTAGATCACCACAAAACCTTTGCCCAAGGACATTTAGGACACTATCACTATACACCCTCGCAACACTCACAGTACGGTCATCTGCAATCTCTACCTCGAGCGGGAATGAAAAGTTGTCGGTGCATCTTGGAACTTCTTGCTAAGTGCAAGAGACACGAATTATTGGGTTGCTCCCGAATCGAACAAAACATGAGTCGACATACCATTGACTAAAAAGATCCATATACATAAGCACAACACGTACATAATCAATGAAAATAAATATAGAGCGGAATAATAAATACGTACTAGCTACAACGAATGGCGTTTCCCATGCCTCCTCGGTAGTCAATTGAAATGCACGGCTCATTACTGCTGGAGCATCCATCTTGGTAGGGCGGCCGTTCGTGATCCTTAGTGTGGCGGGTGCCAACACCGCCACTGCTCCTCCCCCTCCCTGCAACTTCAGACAATCGGCCCGCTTATAGCCGGTTTGGTTGTAGTGGAAACAAATCAAGCCCTTATTGGGGCAATCCCTGCTCAAGTGACCTTGCTGACAAAACACATAACATCCCAAACCCATTATATGACATGCCCTACTGTTCAGTTTACCGCACTTGGCACACCGGCCATGACCTTGCTGGCCCCTACTAGATAAAAATAAGGTCTTCGGCTTTTTATCCTGACCTACCGCTGCCCGTGCTTGCTCCGGGTTCCGCTTGGTGCAGAATTCCAGCGCCATCTCCCATTCATGGGCCATCTCTACCATCTCATTCAGGGTTTTGCGCCCTGTGAAGCTTACAAACTCCCCGATATCATCTCTCAGCATGGAATGATACCACATCCTCCTCATCTCCTCATCGGTGGCATATTGAGGAATCAACCATGCTCGTTCCCGAAACTTGGCGGTGATCTCCGCCATAGTCTCAGTGGTCTGCTGCAAATCATGAAACTCCCACACTAGTCGTTACACCTTGATCGAGTCACAATGAGCATTTTGACTAGGAAATTCTACTCTCAGGTAATCACTCACCTAGTGTAATAACTTGTACTTTGAGAGAATCTCATACTCTATGTTCATTTAAATACATCTCTCATGTTCAACAAAGAGTTTGAAACTCTAAATATTTTGGTTCAAGTCTATATGGGCTAGGACATTCTTATTGGGCCTAATGGGCCAATAAGTATCCAAACCGACTATTTTGGGTATAGGACCCTTAAATAAGCTCTAATTGGACCCACCTTCATGAGATTTAACACTTTGGGCCATATTGGGGCTAAAATGGATTAAATTACTTTAATGGGCCTTGTTTGGCCATAACTAATTTAATTAGTGCTAATGGGCCATAAAACCCATTCTTTCCTTTTAAATCCCAACAAAATAGGCCCACCCACCCACCCACCCACAGACACACACACACATACATACATATATATATATATATATATATACACATTCATACACACACACACACATATATATATATATATACATACACATACATATATAAATTCAAAACAATAAAAAAGAAAGAAAAAGGGATTAATGGGGATTATAATGCCTTGACGCCTCATTTCTGTTTAGGGGATAGTTAAGAAGTTACTCAACATGTAACCAAGCACTCTCATGTTCCCATCCACTCACCTCTCTCTTCTTCTTATTATTACCTCTCGACCGAGAGCGCCAAACACTCACACCAAATCCGTATTTCAAACACATTCAAATCTCTCAAGAAACATTCACATTTGCTCCTAAGTTTTTCGAGATTTAGAGCTAATTTAAGATGGTTTACCACCTAAAAGTCATCACTCTTTGGTAAGTTCTTGCATATTCAAGTGTTATAACTCCATTTCATGTCAAGAATCTCCTTCTAATCAAGTATGTGTAATAATACTCTTAGAAACTTCCTTAGAAGCTTGTTCAAGATCGAAAAACCACACCATCTTATTCATCTTTCCTTCAAAAACCGAGACCATAAGCCCAAGGTGAGTTCATACCCCCTTGTTTTCAGTTTTTACTTGTTTTTGGGAGGAGAATACAAGTGTTATGTGTTGATCTATGTGTGTTTGCATGTTATATGTGATTTCTTTGATTTACATTGTGAAAATTGTGTTAATGCATGTTGTATCACGAGATATACAGCCAAAGTGTGAAAGATTCATAAACAAAAACATAATAAGACAACATACTTCAAAGACCTAAGAGTCTTTTGGCTTAAGAAGTGAAAACAAAGCCAAAAATATTTATAAGTGTTATTTTTGCAAAAATAACAAAGATTTGGGTAAAATATGATATTTTCGGTTTTATAAGAATAAAATAGTATTATTTTCATAAAAAATCCAACTTTTATGAAAATAACACTTCTCAAGGGGCCAAAAATATAAATTATAGCTTATTGGGCTTACATTTGGGCCTCACGGGTTCTTGGGCCCAAAATTGTAAACATGAAGAGTTTTGGGGTTGAAATTGTAAATTCAATTAAAATATGAGTTTAAAACACAAAGAAACTACTTCTGGGGCTGAAAATGATCTTTATTGCAAGAGTTGGATTAAAATGCGAAGTTTTTGGAATTTGGATAAAAAATGTAAATGTAAGCCCCAATCCTTAGATCCAAATCAGTAATCAATGAATTGCAAACAATCAAATAGAGTGTAGGAGTAGAAGGAGAATAAAGTCAAGCATGCACACATCTATAACGTGTAAATGTCAGGTACACCTTGAAAAGTACACATACACATGTCACTTTTTCTGACACACTGACACAACCTATTTATACCACAATTAGCAGCACACAAGTGTGAAGCCGCACACACCCATTAACATACAATGATCACCACAACATACTCTAATCATCCTACCAAGGCCTATATATTATGATGTGTAGCCCAAACCACAAAAATATAGCTTATAAATCTCCACCTTGGTTTGTGGCTAGCATAGAGCTGGTCTTCATTCTCCAGGTTTTTTGAAAAGCTTCAGGTTAGATTTTCCCATGGACCCCATCCATAATTTTCCATTGATGATTATGGCGACCATCCTAGTGAATTCCATGGCAGCAGCCTGCATGACTTCTTTTTTGCAAATGATTTGGTGATGAGCCAAGTTATGAATGTCTCTTTCTCTGAATTTGAGAAGATCTTTTGCACAAATAAGTCTCAGTATTGTTTCTTTATTCTTAAACTTAACGGCAGTAGTGGCAGTTTCATCATCATATGCCCAAAATTCCATGTTGTCAAGATATCCTTCATGAAAGTGCTGAGGGATATGAATTTCTTTCAGTTGTTTTGTTGCTGGCCACTGTATGATCTTTATTGGCTTACCAAATTCAGGATCGAGAATAGCCGCATCTGTTCTATACAAGGCTTTTGCCGTTTTCATCTTTGAGAAGTTCACCTTGACCTGCCTGTCTAGAAATCGTTTGAAGTTGTACGCACTGGGATCCTGCGAAGGATTGTGAAATGGGGCCCTTGAAAGGTCGGAAAGATCAACTTTTGTCCATGAGTTAAAGTCATGAATGCTCTGGTAGTACTCAGGAATCCCAAAGTTTCTCTTTACGACCCACATGTTCGTTTCATGGTCAAAGGCGCACATCTTGATCCCAGAGCAATCACCAAACTCGTCACCAAACTTTCTCTTTTTAAGGTCCGTCACTGTCAATATAGGATCTTTCGCTTTGCGATTTTCATTTGAATTCTTCATAAACAGTAATCCTTCACTTTTATTGGTAGTGACGGTCCTTTTTCCATGCTTGATCATGATTCGAGATCCGGCATTGTCAGGTTCTTTATCAAAACGATCAAAAATGATAGCTGTCCTTGGAGGAGGTTGATTAACTAGATGTTCGCCTTTTGAAGACTGGGTAGGACCCATGGGAAGATCTTCAATTCCATGAGGTTGCTGAAAAAGAGACTGAAACTTATCACCAAAAGCTTCAAACAATTTGTTTTTTTTAACCTAAAATAGAATGCACTTAAAGAGCCAAGATCAATTTATAGATCAGAAATCTGCTTTGACTTTAGTTCATCTCTTTCTCGAAGCTTAGTGATGTAGGAATCATGTTGCTCAAGCAAAATGTTCTTTTCAATGACTTTTTGTCTCAGAATTCCAATCTCTTCTCGAAGCTTAAACACTAAGGTCTTATCATCCCCTGAATATTCTTCCTTAAAAGATATGCATTTTACTTAGGAGGGAGAATCTGAAATGTTCTGAGCCAAATGCTTAGCTAGCCTAACAGAAGCTTCATCTAGCGATGGACTTGAGGGAGAATATTCCAGAATAGAAGATGATCTGCCTGCTTCAGATACTGTGCTTGGACCTTCTTCAGTTTGAAGTAGTGGGGTAGAGACAGTTGTGGTGGTGACAAATGATGAGACCGGTGGTGCTTGGCTTTGAATGAACACTCCCTGCCTCGGAGAAGGAAAAGAGGTTTGTGGTTGTGTCGGTTCACTCAGAAATGGAACAGAAGTAGAGACATTAGTATCAAGGGGAGGAATCCTTGAAACCACATGTCTTAGTCTTGAAGAATCTTCCATTGGTTTTGAAGAAGAAAGAAGAATCTTGAGAGCGTTAACATCATCCCCGGTCTTAGTTGCTAGTTGAACAACTTCATTGAACTTTTTAAAGTGCCTGTCATCGAATCCCGACAATGGACCAAAATCATCATCATCTAAATTAAGATCTAGATTCGAAGGAATGTTGTCGTTGTTGATACCAGTAAAATCCAAATCTTTTAAGAAATCATCATCTTCATTGAAATCCTCATCACCTCCCTCTTGATCAAGCTGTTCCTTAGTTTCCACATTATGTAACTGGTCATGTTCATCTGCCACATTTGCCACTGGAGAAACATGACGTTCTTCATTTTTAGGCTCTCAAACTGAGATTACGACTTCCTCGGTTTTTGTGGGATTAGAGAGATTTTCAGATCCTGATTGGTCACTATCATCAACAAAGATCCCAAATTTTATCAACGGAGATTTTCCTTCAATTTTTTTCAGTTTGATTTTGTTTCATTAAACCGAAGGCGCTGGGACCGATAGACTTGAGATCCAAAGTTTCATTTCCTCTCTCCATCTCGGGGTGCATGACATTAAAGATGATTTGCAGAAACCTAGGGTACATTAAGAACTTGTCCCTCTTATTTCCCTCAATGTTGAGAATCAACTCATGTAGGATAAACTTTGAAAAATTGAATTCAATTCCCGAGGCTAAAGCTGCAATAACACCAGTGTTGAGGAGGGAAATCTCATTAGGTCCTGATTTCCTTCCGAAAATACAGCACACAAACACATGAGCTAGATACTTCCAGCAAGGAGGTAACAACTTCTTGATAGTAGGAGGAAATGATTCTTCATAACCCATATGATCCAGAACTTCTTGGGTTTGCTCCAGATCAATTTCCATGGTAAACTCAGGCATATCATTAATTTGCAGCAGTTCTCGAATGACATGTTCTGTGATGAGGATTTGCTTTCCTTGCACAGTGGCCTCAAGATATTTCTCATCTTTGTCTTCTCTTTTAACAATTGCGCTTCTACAAATTTTTTTGATGAATCTTTGATAAATCACTGGACCAACGGTGAAAGCAGAAACCAAGCAACATTTTCTTAGACCATCAACAATGAATTTGAGATCGTTGTGGGCAGGCGGAGGATCTTCTAGAAAAATTGTTGAATTATGCACCTTTGCAAACTCAAGATTTCCCATGATGATTTGAAAAACACAAGCATACATTATAAAAATTAAGAGATTTTCAATTAATCAAAAATATTTGTCAAATTTAGGTGCACATTCATACACCTATATCCAGCCACACACAATGTGTGCAGCCACACACGGTGTAAAACCGTTCATGGGTTCCAACTGTACAGTGCTAGCCGCACACGAGTCCAGCTGCACACAAGGAGTGTGCAACCACAGACAGATTCAGTCGCACACGGGGGTGTGCAGCCGAACACGGCACCAGCCGCACACGAGGGAGTGTGCAGCTAGACGGCCGTACACGCACAGTTGGAATTGAAACCTTCAATTAACCTCCAGTTCAAGATCGATTTCTCTCAAAAACCACATCATGGGAGTCGTTTTTACAGTTCTTATGATTATAGGGCCTTAATTTCACAAAAGATGACGGTTTTTTTGATGTTTTTAGAGAGAGAGGAGTAGGAGCTGTGTGCGGTTGAGCTCAGGAGGATGGAAAAGTGATTGCATTGACTGCACGCTCTCCTTTTATACTCTCCTTAGACTTGGGCTACTATTCTCCATTTAAAAATAAGGGACCAATACTCAATAGAATTTAAAAATAAAACTTTTGAGGATTAAAAAGTAAAATAAAAAAATAAAATAAATAAAAAAATAAAAGTAAAATAAAATAAAAAATAAAATGATACTAAAATTTGAATTTAACCTAAAATTTTCCTTTACATGAAATTAATAGCCTTTTGAGATGTGGGATCAAAGTTGTTGGATAATCATTCTCCATTTGTCAGTACCTCTCCTTTCATGAATAGATATGGTCGATCGCCGATATTGTGGTCTACTTAAGCACGAAAAAATTGTGACAAATTTTAGGAATGCTATCAGTGACCGGACAGATTGATCCTAAGTTACTAGATAAAAATTCCTAAGTACCATTTATCTGACGACGACCAAGGATATTGTTGTCCACCTATGTTGAGCAGCGAGATCTACAGACAATCTAGAATTGTTCAATTTAGATGTACTAGAACATGTTTCCCGCTTCCTGACATACCCTAATAATCAAGAACTTCTGGGATACTCCTTACTTTAGGTGAGTAGACAATTATTATGAGAGAGGATAGATTTAGATTATGCTTAACTAAGGTTTTGGAGGGATTGAGAAGTAGAAGGTTGCATATGCTGTGTACCAGGTCGGATTGTTAATCACACAAAGTAGACAACATATGGCTAACAGACTGCAAACATGATGTCTGGGCAACTTATAGTCAGATACATCAGCGATCCAATCATCGATCTGTAGAACGTTTGATCTACGGATTCACCTTCAAGATCAGGAGTCAGCAGTGGTCTCTCCACCATGGGCGTTAAAGCAGGTTTTGCATCTCTAAACCCGAACTTCTCAAGCATATCATCCACATATTTGGCTTGATGAATCAGGATTCCAGCTGAACATTGTTTGACCTGAAGCCCCAAAAACATGGTCATTTCCCCCAACGAACTCATCTCGAACCTCTTTTTCATGACGTCCTCAAACTCCTTGCAAAACTTAGGACTTGTCGACCCGAAAATGATATCGTCCACGTATATTTGAACAATAATCTGGTCTGCACCGAAATGCTTGATGAATAGAGTCTGATCGATAGTGCCGCGGGAAAAGCCATGGTTAAGCAAATGCTGTGTGAGGGTAGCATACCAGGCACTGGGAACTTGATGCAACCCATACAGAGCCTTGTCTAACTTGTAGACATGGTTAGGAAGTTTTGAGTTAACAAACCCAATAGGTTGGTCAACAAAAATCTCCTCCTTCACCTTTCCGTACAAGAAAGCCGTCTTGACATCTATTTGATATACGGTGAAGTTCATGTAAGAAGCATAAGCGAGGAAGATACGAATGGCCTCTAAGCGCACCACTGAAGCGTACACTTCTGTATAATCAAGACCCTCAATTTGTCTGAACCCACGGACCACCAATCTCGCCTTTTACGGATAATGACACCCGAAACATCTTGCTTGTTCTGAAACACCCATCTAGTATAGATAGATTTCTTGCCTTTAGGAAACTCCACCAACTTCCAAACCCCGAGCCTTTCGAATCGATTTAGCTCGTCATGCATGTCATCTACCCAGCTGGGCTTATTCAAATCCATTTCGATGTTCTCGGGCTCCATTTGAGAAATCAAGCAAGAGTAAAGACATGTATTGACATCTCCACTCTGACTTCTCGTTTCAACTCCGTCGCTCAGCTGGCAATGACGTTCTTTATCGGATGATCGTGTTGTATGCGAGAGGGGATTGCATGACTGATGTCATTGAATGAGACGGGAGGATTATGATTATTAATAGATCCATCATGTGCTGAAGAATCCACGGTAGATGTACTAGCTTCATGCGGTGAATTTGCTACAAAATCATATGCGATCTGCTTGGGAAAGAGAAGCTCCATTAGATTTTGAGTAACAGCGGAAGCATCTTGGTTCATGACCTCTCTTTCAACTGGAGTTAGAGGAGTAGCATCAGCATCTAGAGCAGATTGATGTGATTAGGACTCTGGAGAAGCAATTGGAACAGATGACACCATCGGGGGATCAATAGCAGAAACCAATGGCGGTCTGTAGACAACCTCTTCATCATCGTCTTCAATGTTATTCTTCGAGCCAGAGGTAGACCCAGTTTGGTTATCAGACGACACACTAAATGATTTAAATAGTGATGTGTAGTCGAACAGCCAATCGGGACCCACCCTAGCATCCATTTCATTCTCTTCAAGCCAGCGAACATCGAAGGACTCCACGATTTGCTTCGTCTTCTTGTTGTATACCCGATAAGCATTACAAGTAGCGTAACTGACAAAATATCAATCATCAGCTTCAGTATTGAATTTTGGGTTGGATTCCAAGTGGAGAAGGGTGCAAGGGCAGCCAAATACTTGGAAATGGCTGATAGATGGCTTGTGTCCATAGAGAGTCTCATACGGTGTTTTCATCTGGGCTTTGTTGATCAGGACACAGTTTTGAATGTAACAAGCTGTATTGATCGCCTCCACCCAAAAGAAAACTGGAAGTTTAGAATCACAAAGCATCGTCCTTGCTGTGTCTTGTAAAGTCCGATTCCTCCGCTCAGCAACACCGTTCTGTTGTGGTGTCCGAACAGAGCTACATTGACGCATGATCCCTTGCTCAACGCAAAAATGATCAAGAACAGCGTTGTTGAACTCTGTTCCATTGTCTGTACGCAGTGCTTTCACTTGGATGTTGGTTTGGTTCTCGATCATCACAATGAGCTTCTTGATAAGATCGGTGATCCCAACTTTGTTGGATAAAAAGAAGACCGACGTGAAACGAGAGAAATCGTCTATCACAACGAGACAATATGAATTTTGATTGATGTTGAGGATGTTGACCGGACCAAACAAATCCATATGAAACAATTAGAGCACCTGACTGATGGAGTTGATCTGCTTTGGGAGATGTGGTTTCCGATGATGTTTTCCTAGAGCACAGGAAATACATTTTTCAAAAGTAATAAAATCTCTAATAGGCAGACCGCGGACCATTTCGTTCTTAGCAAGAAGATTCAGATTCTTTGCATTTATATGGCTAAGTCGATGATGCCAACTCATTGTATTTTGTTCTGAGACTTTGGAAAATAGACAAGTGAGTTCACTGGGTACATTGCTGTTCATGTTGATAATATAGGCATTCCCATCCCGCTTTGATTTTTACGAGAATCCACTCCTCCGGGATGACAATGGCCTATTTTAAGATTAGACAATTTTTTTATCGGTGAAGTGTGTTGAATAAGCCTTGTCACAGATTTGGGAAACACTCAGCAGTCTATGCTTTAACTCGAGAGCATAGTTACCGTTCTCAAAACTTAGCACTCCATTGGAAACTGTTCCTTTCTGAGTGATCTTTCCTCCTTCTCCACCCGCAAATGAAACATATCCCCCCATTAAATGTCTGAATATCGTGTAGTTGGGAAATATCTCCAGTCATGTGCCGGGAGCAGCCGCTATCTACATACGAGGGTCTGATGACATTCCTCCACAACCGTCCCTGCACGAAGAGCGGAATTATTTAGATTTGGGGACCTAGGTCATTATAGTCCTGGGTTGACCCTTAACTTTCACAGATTCATTTTTCAATTTTTCTTTTGATTTTTCTTTTTCAACAGATACAAAGGAGGATGATGACTGATTAGATTTTAATTTTCGCATCCATTAATATTTAGGTTTTAAAACAGTTTTCTTTTTAGTTTGCTTTGAGCAGGTGGATTTTCTACCCAAAGAGTTTGAAGATCCAAACCTACTTTTTGACGAAATCGACTTTGGCTTAGCTTTGGTCGATTTTGGCAAACTGCTTGTTAATTTATTGAAAACCTGTTTGTTCTTTTGAAAACTTGTCATTTTCTTGCTTTGATTTGTTTTCCAGTCATCATCTCGAAAGCAAGTTCTGGAGGATTTTCTAATTAAAGACTATCCTCTAGACTCATTTTCTCCCCTTTTTGACATGTGATGCACAAACATTTGGTTTAAAAAATTTCTGGCAATATGACCAACAGTACCACAATTGAAGCATATTTGTTTATTATAATTGGATTGAGTATTGCTCTTGTTAGATTTCTGGTTTTTATTATGTTTTCTAACATTTTTACATTTGCAAGAACAAGTACTAGATTGTGTAGCAAACGTGGAAGATGTAGAAGCATTCAAATCACATTTATCAATTTTATCAGAAACAACACCGTCATTTTCAAAATTATCAGTGTGAAACAACACACAACAAGAAACAAAAACTTTAGTGTTTCAATTTAACACAGATTCATCACAAAATTCAACACCAAATTTGGACACATAATTATTCGACTTAGCCTTTTCAGCTTCTTGCTCCCCCTGAACTACTAACTTATCTACACTTGAGATAGAAATGTTAGTATCCAATATTTTTTCAATCGACTGTGTTACTTGTTCAGAAGCTCACTTCCCATAAACCATGAAAGGTTCTCTGTCAATTTCTTCTTGAGACAAAGGAATAGCAGTGTAATTATGATTGAAGGGAGGGGGGACACTCTCAAATCCTAATCCTACTTTTATTTGATTACCACAAGTAATATCCTTCCACTGCATCTATCCTTATATCATTTTTGCAACTACTTCACTTGACCCATCGAATTTGTTAAAAATAAATTCAGTATTTTCAAGACGATTTTTCAATGTGTCAAGTTCAGCGGTTAGAATAGAAAAATTTCTTTTGAGATGATCATAGTTTTGGCATTTATTGCTATAATCCTCTTGTAGTTTCTTAAAGTCCTTTGTTTTATTTTATAATTGTGTGTTTAAAGGCTTTTGATTTTCCCTATGTGTGCAACCCTCATATTTATGGTCCTCGTTCTCTCTCTCTTGATTAATTCAATTTGGTCTCACAAAAATTTAATAGTTTTAATACAAGATTGAGAGCAACCAAATTCACTAACCTCGGGTTTGCAGGCTTTGGAGTAGTTTGCACCATGAATGCAAACTGAAGATTCATGATCGCTTCTTCTGGATCCTTCTCTGTTTCTTCTTCCACACCATTTTTGATCTGGGCAAGATGTGTATTTTTAGGTCCTGAAATATTCAGAGCTTAAACTTGGTCTTTCCAATTAAATGATTGAGCCACCATTACCAAGTTAGCAGTCTGATTGGTTGAAGAATATCCCTTGTTGACATAGATCACCAGCACCATGATTCGTTCTGAATTCTCTCTTTGATTTGGCTTTGGACATTCCCTTGCAAAATGCCCAGGCTCATGGCAGTTGTAACATCTCACTTTTCCTTTGTTGAATCCCACTTTCTTATTGGAATTCACACTCCAATTGTTCTTTCTTGTTTTCTTGGAGAACCATTTTGCCCTGAAGACCGCCATGGTCATTTGCCATGTAATGTCAATCTCTTCCAAATCCTCATGATGAATCTGGTCTAGGTCAGCAAATGAGAGATGTGGAGAGAGTTCTCCGGCCACAAAAACGTTTTCGCAGTTTACCAAACCAGTGGCGAGGGACAGATTTTCTTCCTTTTCTTTCAAAGATGAAGCTTGAGGACTAATTTCATGAGATTGAACTGGTCCATCTGTGGATGAACCAATACTAGAGCCAACTTGTTGAGCTAATGTTTGAGGTTGAGGAATTTGAATGTGTCGCATTTGAGGTGTAATGTATGAGATGGGATGATGAGTCACATAGGGTTGAACTTGAGGAACATACACTTGAGGAGCTTGAGTCGTAGAAAAGCTTGAGAAAGTAGTGTTGTTAGTGGTTTGGATCCCCAGATTTGCTGTGGAGTATGAATTGACATGGTTAATGTCCCTTTGCTCATCATCGAG